ACATACATACAAGAGATTAATTGCTATTAAAGCAGATTTGTTTTAATTCTGCTCTTCATTTTCTGCTGTGGCAATCCAGAAAAGGGATGTGAGAAATGTTTTAGTTAATATGGTATTATTAACATAATAATCATATTTTCCATTTTCTATCTTCTCCCTAATTTGAAAGAAATGAGCCAAAGCCACATAACCTGGATACAACCTAATTATGTAATTAAAAGAATTGCTCTTCCTATATTTGTTTTATATGGATAATAAAGAAAGCCATGAAATTGAGCTCACAGTATCTATATTACTGGCAACATTTTGAGGGAAATGGCTGTTTTCAAAGTAGTACTAAGGCTACCTCTCCCATGATGAGAATTTGGATGCCCTTCCATTTTTTTAATGCATTGAAAGATGGGTTGGCATCTACTTGAGTCATCCTATTTCTCTTTTCAGAGAAATGCAACCTGATCATCCATGCTCAAAAAAGTGACAAGTGATTGATTTTCCTTTTTCCATTTTCTTTCAGCTGTCTATATGTGTGAAATGGAAGAACAATGTCCTCAGTACTTTGAGAATAAAACTGAAGAGAGCTGGTGCCCTCTGTCTGATGTTTTGCCTGCTTCAAAAGGAATAACATATGAACTCTGTGCTGGTATTGTAGACCAGCCTGAGCTCTCTTTGGAAGAAATTGCTTGCAAGGAAGTTTTAGAAGAATGTGGCTATGAAGTTCCTGTAACCAGCCTAAAAAGAATCACTTCATGCAGGTTGGTAGATCAATGATTGAAAGACTAATCAAGATTTTGTAACATATGTTTCAATCTGCTAGATATTTTGACAGATTTTTTTTTCTATTGGGTTTGTGCGTTTCCTTGGTTTGTGTTTTTTTTCCCAGTCCCCAGTAAAAGTAACAGATTCTTCAGGCCTTAGTAGATCATTGCAACTAGGCTGCAGTCACAAATAGTTAGAATGACTGGCCTTTATCTTTGAGCATCTGGGAATTGGTGGTAGTGACATCTGTTATAAGATCTCGGAAGATGAAGGCAAGAAGAAAGAGAATTGTTCCTCTTTGAACTTCATACCTAAGGCTTTAGGGTAATAAATCCCTTATAAAGCCCTTATCAATTAATTATAATATTACTATATTGCCATATTTGAGAATGATTTGTGATATAAAAACAAAAGACACAGTGACCCCCCAAAAAGTTCAAATAATATCAATTAAACTGTCATAATACTGAAATATATTATTCTGATCCCATTCTGGCAATCCCAAATAAAAAGCTCTCTGCAACACCATCATTTTTACAATCTTTCTAAGAACATCAAGGTGAAACAACAGCACTTACCTCTAAGGACCACCTTTTCAAAAGTAGGACAGGGAGCCCTTAAGTACCCTACCTTTTCATTGAATGAGCATAAGGGACAGGAGGGATCTATTTACAGAAGGTGGTCCTGAAGATATATGGGAACTAAATCATTTAAGATTTAAAGAATAAAATCAGTATGTCGAATTATAAGTGGTAACTAGTACAAAACTTTCAGATATGATGTATTGCTGTAACAATTCTGATCCATTAACCATCGGGCCATATATCGGTACGTTACATTATAATAATTTAAAGTTTAACATAGAGAAGGACATGATTTACCATTGCCAAGAGTTTTATGGAGTGAGTGGCTAGAATAAATCAAACAAATAAGTAAATAAATAAATGTTCTCCTGCTACTAATAGAACTAAGTAAAGACTGAGTGACCACAGTCGAGCAGTAGCTTTGAGTAATGGACCTGCTTCTTATAGGAGGAATGTGCAACCCTTCCAGACTAAAAGACTGTCAGCTGGTTTTTGGACAAAAATTGCAAGAAGACAGAATGCAATAAAGGCATAAATAGAAGCCAATATCTTGTTTTCCGCTTGGTTTTATGTAATATAGAGATAGATAATTCCTTAAAAATACAATACTTATATAATCTAAGGACACATTGTTACTATGCTGTATGCATACATACACAGTTTTAAGGTATTTTTAATACATAGTAATTCATTTTTTCAGTCACATATAGTAACAGTATCAGAATCCGGTATATATGAATCTATGCTAATTTGCATATAATAGTCATCTACTCAAAGGTTTCAGAAGTTTCCCAGTTGTGCTATTTAATTAAAACAAACGAGAGAGAGAGAGAGAGAGAGAGAGAGAGAGAGAGAGAGAGAGAGA